ATGGAGACATTGCCTTGGAGACAGTCCTGAGGAGTCATTCCGTGATTAATTGCAGTATAAAGCTGCAGAGAGCTGATTTCCTAATGGGAAGTCATCAGTGATGCTTTAACCTCAGAATCCTGACTGCCCCTTTCCATGCTGACAGCCCTGCTGCCAGTGACATCCCGGACCATGGAATGCCTGCAGGCTCAGCCCCATTTATCCCAGGGCCTCTTCCATTTGGGGTGTTATCCTTCTATTATGTGGCCAAGGGGCAGGAAGAGTTAAAATGCTTCTGGATGCTGGAGGGTTCTTCCTGCCACTTCCATATCAGAGGAATCTCAGCCATGATTAACTGAGCCTCTGGTTCAGGGGCTTTGATCCCACTGCTAAAGCAGTAGGAACAGCTCCACAAATACTGCCTTTTGGATCATTTTAGCCCAGATTTAACTTAATTTTACCAGTGGCGTGCTACAACCCCTGTTTCCTGCCTTTTCTCCTTGTCTTCCTCTGCACCAACGGTGTGAACTGGGGGCCGTTTTGGAGCAGGAGGCTTCCAAGCCCTGTTACAAACAGGTCCCTTGACACCAGCTCAAGCCGAATGGGAGCCAACAAACCCTGACCCACGGGCCCCAGGCTCGGAGGCCGGGCTTGTCCCTAAGGAAGCCGTTTGGGAGAGCAGGGACAAGGATGCTCTCGGGTTCCGCCGCCACAAGAGGTCCCTGCGCGCTCGCTGGCGCTCCGGGCAGAGCGGATGGGGCTCTTTCTTCGCCCCTTATTTGGAGATGTTGCCTTTTCCACGCAGGTTTCCAGTGGTTTCCCAGCCGTTCCCAAACATCCCCTGCACGGAAGGGGATCCCTTCCATATACCAGCCCGAGCTCCATCCCGTAACGCCTTGGGGAGCACAGCTCATCCCATAGCGGGGATGTAAATCCAGGGTACAGCGGTTCCTCCCGTAGCTGGATAACCCATCCCTTTCACAGATTGGAGCTCCTCTTTGGCACATTGGAGAGAGAAAACCCATTTCCACACTCAAGAGCTGGCAGTTTATTGATAATCCCCCATAGGAATTCCCCACTACTCCCAGACAGAGGTTTGGGTGCCCACTCTGCTCCCAAACACTTCCCATAGCCAAGAGATGGGGGAGCTCCTGACCCAGCACCGTCCTTCTGGCAAAAGCCTTGCTCCTTTCATCTTCCTCTCTCCAGCCAAGGAGCCATAAAACCCATCTGCTCCTCTCATGCCAGACCTGGCTCACACCTCAGATAACGTGAGCAGTCTCCAAACAAACCAAGCCTCCTGGCTTCCCAACTTGGAATAGCGGCCGTGTGCATCCCGCTCTGAAGTGGATGACACAGGAATGTCACTGCCTCGCAGGCAGATGGCACAGGAATGCTTTATAGAGCCACCTCTTCATTCAGAAAGCCTCTAGCTCCCCACTTATGAAAGGATCCACCATGCAGAGCACACGCTGTGTATGGCAAAGCACGCCCAGGCACTGCAGAGGGAGCTGGGAAGGGAGCTCAAACCAGTGCAAGCTCCAGCATTCACCTTTCCCAGCCAGAAACGCCTTCCTGGTGTGGGAGCTGGATGTTCTCCAGGTGGAACTGGGGGTGTACTCACTGCAGCCCCGGGAGAAAGGCCGACAACACAGACCTCTGACAACAGTGCCCCTACGGATGCTGCCAGCTCAAGGGCTTGCGCTGGACCAGCTGCCGTGATGCAAAGGATGCGCTCTCTCCTCCTCATTCCAGCTGCTGATACGCCATGGGATAAAACCTTCCATTGACAGACATTGATCAGGAAAACCCCTCCACAGCTTCTCTGGGCACCCTGTGCCAGCGCCTCAGCACCCTCACAGGCAAGAGCTTCTGCCTAAGAGCTCATCTCAATCTCCCCTCTGGCAGGTTAAAGCCATTCCCCTTGTCCTGTGTCCCTACAGGCCTTTGTCCAAAGCCCCTCTCCAGGCTATCCATGTGCTTCCTGGCTGCACCATGATGTATTTATGCCTGCACGCTTTCTTTTGCAATTCAGACAGTTTCAGAATGAGTCCTGCAAGGTGGAAGTGCATCTCAGCCCCTGCACCCGCTGCGTGAGCATCGCACGTTGTTGAACCCACTCGGTCCCTCCTGCGTTACGAACGCAAGCACCGGAGCTTCCCCACCGCATCTCCTGCTGCTGTCAGCTCCTCCCCTTGGAACAGGTTAGGCTCCCCCCTGAATTCTCCTGTTATTAATATCACAAACCAAGCTGCTCCAAGAGCGGTGTCCCATTAATCATTTTAGCTCTGCTGCCGTCTTCACCTCGCTTCCTCTTCCTGTGCCTGAGCAGCCCTCAACAGCATCTGACTCAATGGGTGATGCTCGGTTAAAATCAGCAGGGAAAGACCCAGACCTGAGAAAGATGGGACAAGCAAAGGTGGGACAAGGATGCGTCCGCACCACCATGGCTGGGTTACAGCAGGAACCCTGCTATGGTAGCAGGGCCTTGAAGGGAAAAGAGCAATTCCCCTTGGATCTGTGCCTCTGAGCTTGCGTTCTGCGGAGTGCTGACAACCCTGGACACGCACAGAAGGGAAGGGATCTCATAAAGCACAAGCTGCTCATGTGTATCCACCCCGATGCAGGCAGCAGGGCTGGTCAGAGCTTTCTGATGCTTACCTGGGCTTTGTGTTTGAGGGCATTGCTTCCTTTGTCTCTCTTCCTCCCTACGGTTAATCCTGCTGTGTGTTACAAGCAAAGGTCAGGACCACCCCGAGTACCTACCTCTAAAAGATGCTCACAGAGCATCCTCCCAAATACCTGCCTCCAGGACCATCCCACTGCTGAACCCCTCGAGGACAGATTGTGTGCCATACGCAGTAGTAGCACATCCCTGCAGCTAACCCAAACCCTCCCTCTTCCATCCAATGCCCTTTGCAGCGTTTAATCCTTCCCCCAGCCTCTTTGTCCCCATCAGAGATGGGCATTTTGCTTTGCCTTTATCCCTTTGCATTTACCAAAGGTGCTTGGCGGCTGAGCTGGTGTGAATGTCACTGCTCATCCCAAAGCCTCCCCCAGCTGCACCACCTTCCCACCTGCCGCTTTTCCAGGGCGCTGCAGCTTTTCCTCCTTAAGCAAACGGCGTTTTCCAGCCCTTTCTGCTGAGTCAGAGAATGCCTCCATGTGGGAACGTGCTCCTGGGGGATAATTACAGGCACTTGAAACAGGGATGCTCGGCAGCCAAATTGCTTCACATCCAGGCGCCCGGCCAGGAAGGCAGAGCCCAAAAGCGGCTGTGAGAAAATGCCTCGCACCTGCACCCATCGTGGGTGTGCGTTGCCTTTGGGCTGAGCTCACCCCTTCCACAGCAGCACCCCAGCAATGACAGCGCACAGCTTGGTGGGTCCAACACCACGTAAATCAACCCGCTTACCCTTCCAGAGCATCCCTGTGCATCCCTCTTCCCTGGACCGTGCCCACCAAAGGGTCTTTGTCACCCCCTATGCTCAAGGGGTAAAAAAGCCCTGGTTCTGCAATGGAAATGATGGAATCACACTGGGAATAACTCCCCCCCCCAGAGTGTTTTAAGGTTGTGAAACACATCGACCGTGAAGCAGGGATAAGAGCCGGAGCAGACACAAACAGCGTAGGAATTACTCCCAGCCTCTTGCAACTCCCACTCCGATGCAAAAATAGCCCTGCCAGGAGCACGCTGCTCTGTGTCATCCTTCAAGGACCAGGTGACGAGGCCTGGACATCCGTGGACCGAACCAGGAGCTGGGATGTAAAGCACGGACAGGGGCGCCGAACGCTTCGTGCTCCTTAAAACCAGCGGAGGGGGATCTGAATGCAAAGAACAAATGAAACCGTTGTAAAGATGATATAGAAAAAGTAGTGCTATCACCCCAGAGCGCTGCGAAACACTGAGCTAGAGCACTTTGCACCAAGGAAAGGGGTGATAGGAGCCACAGTGGGGTACCACTGCATCCCCTCAAGCTTCTGTTCCCATTGCACATGACGCACCCGGTCTTTGCATCATTCCTCCATGCCCTCAATCCTTTTGCAATCCTATACCCAAACAAGAGACACCTTATTAGGTACAGAGCACTTACAGAAACCAGGCAAGGCTCCCTGCTTGACAAGCAGCCTCTTCCAGGGGATGTGTCTCCTGATGGATAAGGGACGTTGTGCAATGGAAGGAGCGCATCACCCGGCCGTGGGCCGGCGTTGTTGTGCTTGCAAGGCACAAGGGTGGCACTTTGGTGGAGGAAACGCTCCCAGACAGCAGCACTGGTGGCTTTCGGACACTGGAAGTGGGTGCCTGAGCCCCCCATGGCGGGACTGGGTGAGTACAAACCAATGCTTCTCCTATGGGACCTGGGAATGGGCAGCGGCACGGTGGGAATTTGCAGGAGCCCTGCACCAAAACCTGCCTCCAAGCACTTCCTTTTGCTCCATTTCTTGCCTTCCTCCTTCGAAGCACAGAGGGAGGGTTTCTAACCAGCCCCTCAGCTGATTGCTAAGGCAGGGACAGTGCTAAGGCCTGAGGGTTTTGGCTCTTTCCTTCCACAGAGGGCATTTTGGGCAGGGATTACTGCTTTCATGGCAATCAGCGTGGTAACAGCTCTGTGCTGACACTGGAGAGGTTTCAGAGAGGCTGAAGCAGCTCTTCAAACCCCAATTTGGTTTATAGCAGCAGCACCTCCCCATAGATGTCTGTGTTTATGTACAACAGTCATTAATCACTTCTGCTCACTCGCTGCAGTGGAGTTCAATGGGACACGGGGCTGAAAACAAGAAACTGGAGGAGAGCAAGGCTTTAGGTTTGCCCACAAAGAGGGTTCTCCACCAGCTTAAGGGGTTTTCCTGCTGTACCAGGAGGCTGGGACCCCTTGAGCACACCACTGACCTGCTCGCATCTGGGGCAGCGGTGGCCCTGCATTGTGGGCTGGGAGCGTGCGGTGATGGGGGAAGCATCATCCACCGAGAGGCAACAGCATCCGTGACAGCCAACCCTTCCCTCTGCTTCCCCCCCCTGCCAGGCAGCAGCAGGGATGGCAACGACACCGTCACCACCGAGGTCTGCAAGGAGGCTGATGTTGGCGATGGAGAGTGAGTACCTCCGCGAGCGGACCCCAGGCTGTGGGTCCAGGGCTGGAAGGGGCCAAGCTCTTCGGCTCCCACCTCTCCTGTGCTCCCGCAGGCTCTGGGAGGTGATGGTGGCCGGGTACCCGGTGCTGCTGGTGAGGAACAAGAAGGAGTTCAGTGCCCTCAGCAGCAAGTGCCCCCACTATGGTGCCCCGCTCAGCAAAGGTAGAGCTCTGGCTCTCACAAAGGGAAGAGGCCGTGGTAGGGAGCCGGGCACGGAGCTCTCCCCACCTCTATTGCAGGGGTCTTCAGAGGGGAGAGGCTGCGCTGCCCTTGGCATGGGGCCTGCTTCAACATCAGAACTGGAGACATTGAGGAGTACCCGTCCCTGGACTGTCTGCACCGCTTCAAGGTGAATTCTTGCCTCTTCCTCCTCCCGTAGCATCAACCAGGTTGGAAAAGACCTCTGTGAGCGTCGAGTCCAACCTTTAAGGCAGGACTGGCAGCTCCACCACTAACCCATGTCACTGATGTCCTCCGTACTGTTGGCTCTCACAAGCTCCATGTCCCTCACGCCAGCTGAAAGCCCTGGCCACAGCGATGTGGTCCAGGTCGCACAGAGCTACGATGCATGGGATGGCTTCTTGGGATCATGTAAGTCCCGGTCCTAGAGCTTCTTTCAAGCCAAGGTGATGCCGCGCATCCCGGTATCCCTCACAGCTCTTCGGCAAAGAGAGGAGGAATTCCACCTCTTCCTGAGGGCTTTTGGAAGGAGGAGGGAAGCTCATGAGCTCCTCGGCATCATTTGACTCCCATGATCCCAACAAGTCACTCTGGGTGTATCAGAGCTCTCCGTTGCACCAGAACCTGCCAGGGAAGCTCCTACCACATCCTCATGACCGCATGCACTGAAACGTGCTCTCCTTTCCCCGCTTCAGGTGACGGTGGAAGATGGAAAGGTGTTTGTCACAGCAAAAAAGAAGGTACGGGCCTTACCTGCAGGCACCAAGCCCAGGCAGCACCTTGGGGTAGGGGCGATTCCAGCACTCCCTGTTTGCTTCCAGGACCTTGCAAGCAGCCTGAGGGTGAAGGACACGAGCAAGCGATGCCCCCTGAGCCGGGCCACGGTGCTGCTGCTGGGGGGAGGTCAGTGGAGCGGTCCCCACGTGCGCTGTGAGCTGCCGCTCTCCTCATCCCCATCACGGTGTAAGCGGTGAGCATCCCTTGCAGGCGTTGCGGCTCTGGTGTGTGCCGAGACCCTGCGCCAGGAGGGCTTCACCGGCAGGATCATCATGGCCACCAAAGAGAAACACGTCCCATACGACAAGTCCAAACTGACCAAGGTTTGTGCGTGAAGGGCATGAGGGTACCGCATCAGAACTAAGGACACCGGGCTGAGTGATGAAGGGAGCCCTTCTGGCAATGGGGCGCTGGGGCACCCCCAAGCTAAAGGGGTACCATTTCCATCTCCCCCCCCCCCCCCGGGATCAGAATCCCCCATCAGCTGATGGCTTTACCCCCTTTTCACTGAGCTCTCCCCACTAGAGCTTGTGTTCACGGATGAGGGGGGACAAGAGGCGGATGGGGCAGTGTGAGGAGCTGTGATTTCCTCCTGCAAAGCGCACCTCCTGTGCGAGCTCACTCCCCAGTAAACCCTGCAAGCGTTTTGCTGCCTCTACTTCTGCTTTGTCTCCAGGAAATGAACTTGAAAGCCGAGGACATCTACATGAGGACACCCGAATTCCTCCACGCGCACGGCGTAGAGCTCTGGACAGAGAAAGAGGTACACGGGCAGCTGAGCTCAGACCTCAATGGGTGGTTGTGTTCCTGCCACGGGGAGCCTGGCTTTGGTGCTGTCATAGCGCTCCCAAAGCCCAAGACCTGGAGGAAGCGAGGGAGAGGACCCCAGCATCCCTCCTCTCACCCAAGTGTCCAGAGACAGGGCACACAGGATGGATTGATGCAGTGGGACATCACTGGACCAGAGTTAGCCGGGAGGTCTTTGCCTCCTTTCCCCCACAGGCAGTGTCGGTGGATTTCCAGAAGCAGAAGGTGCACTTCGTGGATGGGTCCTCCCACCAGTACAACCAGCTGCTCATCGCTACAGGCTGCCAGTGAGTGCACGCAGCAGTTACCATTGTAGGCAGGACAAAATGGGTCAGCCCTGGGGTGTGAATTGCTCCGAGAGGATGCGTAGGGAAGAGGCGGTAGGCGATGCAAGGACATGCAAGGATGACGCAGCCAAGAGGTTGCACAGGTCTGTGCTCTCCCCTCGCTGCTCCGTTTCCCGGGATGGGATGTACCCGGATCCTCTCTTCCAGCTCCAGCCTCCTCCAAGTCCCAGGAGCAGACCTGCAGAACGTGTGCGTGCTCCAAACCCCAGAGGATGCCAGCAAGATCTTAGAGCTGGCAACCGGGAAGAACCTGGTCATCGTTGGAGCTTCATTCATAGGTACCAGGCTGGAGAGGGCATCAAATCATCAGTGATGCCCTGAACCCCACTTGCGTTGCATGAGGGCATCAACTGGAAGCCTTTGGGGCAGGGATGCTCATTCGCTGCCTGGCTGGGCTCCTCGCAGAGCCCTATGGCTGGTGGGGGTATGCGTTGCACAGCACACACTGATGCTTTCCTCCGATAGCCAGAAGCTTTGAGAGCTGGGAACAGCTCCTGCTCATGGACAGAGGGAAATGTGCCTTAGGGAAAGGTCCCTGTGCTCCAGAGGAGCCGATTCACAAGCAGAAGGAAAACCAAGAGATGGGCACTGTCTTGCACACAACCAAGAGCTGTTCTTTGCGCTGCCACCCAGGTCCATAGCACATGAGAACACAGAGCAGGGGAAGAGCTCAATGCCTCAGCCCAGAAACACACAGAGGAGCAGTTAAGCACTGGCAAAGCATCAGATGCGTTCTCCTCACCTGGAAGGAGGGAAGGCTTCCAAGGAGCAGGTCTGTGCTTGCTCACGTCGGGCATTGCCTTTGCCTTGCAGGGATGGAGGCAGCCGCCTTCCTGTCGGACAAGGCTGCTGCCATCGCAGTGGTGGAGAAACAGGAGTTCCCTTTCCAGAGGGTGCTGGGTCCTCGGGTCGGAGGCGTCACCATGAAGGTGAGGGAAAGCTGGTGCCCATTCCTAGGATGGGGAACCCACGTTACCCGAGCAGCCCCGGTGCTGCTCACACCAAAGGAGCAATGCACACAGGCTGGGCCCAGCCTCCCTCACACGCATCACATCCCTCTTCATCCTCAAGCCCTTCTTCATCCCAGAGCCAACAGAGCAAAGCCAAGCTTCCAGGCACCGTGCAGAGCCAGGGACACGCATTAAACCTCTCCGAGCCGTACTTACAGCATTCCAGCCTGGAATTCCCTAGTGAACGCTCGCCCCATCCTTTTCAGATGCTGCAAACCAAAGGGGTGAAGTTCTACATGAAAGCGGAGCTCCGCGAGCTGCACGGGGAGGATGGAAAGGTCAATGCTGCCCCTGCCATCCCGGAACCGCTGCTTTTAGGTGGAAAAACCCCAAACTGAGGATGAACTCGGTGCCTGCACCTGGGTTTCCCCTCCCACATCAACACCTTCACGTTTCTCTCCACCGAGAGCAATTCCGGGCTCAGAGAGCAGTGGTTTGTGCTTGTGGCAATGGTGTTGGGTGTTCTCTTAGCACACATCGGGTGGACAAGGTGAAGCTGGGCGAGAACAAGAGGCAGCAGAGAACGAGGCAGCGGGGAGGCTGGGAGAATTAGGACAGAGCTTTTAACCCTTTGGTAATGGCTCCTGCTCCCTCCCTAGGTCGCAGAGGCTGTTCTTGCCTCCGGAGAGAAGCTACCTGCGGACGTGGTAGTGGTGGGAATAGGTGAGAGACCCCAGGTGGGAGAGGGAGGCAGCTTTGGGAATGGGGTGGGGGGGTAACAGGCGGTGAGCCCAGCTCGTTGCCTGCGGTCTCTTTCCCCCTGTTATCATCCAGCCCTTCCTCTTGGTCCCAAACACACGGGGAAAGGCAGCAGCAGCCCATGAGCAAACAGCGGCAGGAAGGACAGCAGCGGCTCTGGATGCTCGCTGAGCTCCATAGGGCACTGCTCTGCTCCAAGCACGTGCTGAGGCCAAGGTTCCTCCCTGCCTTTGCTGCTCTCATCCTTGCTCCTCTCCCTGCAGGGACATTCCCCAATTCAGCATTCCTGAAGGGCACCTCCATTGCCAGAGACGCCAGCGGTGCCATCCTGGTGGATCTGGTGAGTGCCAGCTGTGTATTCCCGGTCCACACCTCCTCCCTCCCCTCTCACCACCGCACCGACTGCTTTCTGCCCCTTTAGCACATGCAGACCAACATCCCGAACGTCTTTGCTGCCGGGGATGTGGTCTCCTTCCCCGTAGCACTGCTCAATGGGGAGCGGTGCAGCATCCATCACCAACAAGTGGCTGAGGCACACGGTAAGGCAGAGCACCCACCTCACCCCCCCAGCTCCCATCCCTAGGGATGGGCACGGGGCAGAAGGAACAGCAGGATAACAAGAGGCAGGGGATGTCTGCTGATTCATCACAGGTCACACTGCTGCCCTAAACATGCTGAAGAAAGAGAAGCAGCTGCACACCATTCCCTTCTTCTGGACCACGATGCTCGGGAAGAGCATCCGCTACGCAGGTAGGGGGTAGAGAGATGAGAACAGCAAAGCTGCTCCCCAGCCCATCTGCTCATCCAGGAGCTGGGGCTCAGAGACACTCGGAGCTCCCTTCAAGCAGCCCTTTGCAGTCCCTGCTTCCAAGGCAAGGAGAGGCCCTGGGTCAGTTCTGCTTGTGCAGGGTCTTCATGCCTGCTCCCCAGCCCAGACCCCACTCACTGTCCCCTCTGGCCCTGTGATGCCAGGCTGCGATGCTCTCCCTTGCAGGCTGCGGGAGGGAATACACGGACACTGTTGTGAAGGGCAGCCTGGAGCACCAGAAGTTCCTCATCTTCTACATCAGGTGAGTGAACCCATGGCCAGTCTGTGCCTTAGGCCCCTTCCTCACAGCAGGGGCTCCGCATCACCTCCAATGCCCACACACCGCAGCCACTAAAGCGGCAGCGAGATGGTGTGAGAGCAAACCAAGGCAGGGAAGGAGAAGAGGATGAGTTCAATGGAGGCACCAGCCGGGCAGGGAGCCTGGCACACACCTCTCCCTCTGCTCCCAGCAGCACCAGGCTGTGTGCCGTGAGTCCCCCTGCAGCAGCATCACCCTGCCCGGAGCCTCCAAAGCACGGGGTGCCACTGGGATGCTGCTGGGCTACGAGCACCGGAGACATCCACGTCCTTCTGCTCTCTCTTTCAGGGACGGTGCCGTGACTGCAGCAGCCAGCCTGGGCTGTGACCCCATGGTGGCTCTGCTCGCGGAGGCTTTGTACGCAGGGAAGCAAATCTCTAAAGAGGAAGCAGAGTAAGGGAGAGCCTGGGCGAGCTGCAGGCATCCCCCTGCCTGCAGAGCCCACTGGGAGACACGGGGCCAAAATGAGTTACTGCAACCCTCAATGCACCTCTCCTTTGCAGGGCCTGCGACATCAATAGCATACCCCAACTGGCAGAAACCTAAGCTCAGTCCATGCCTTGCTGTGAAGGGCATGGAGTCAACCAAGTGTTAACAGCTCCACACGCCCCTGTCCTGGCACAAGAGGAATAAAGCCATAGAGCAATAGAGCCATAGAGCCAATAGCAATAAAGCCATAGAGGAACAGAGCAAAGCTGGACCCAGCCCTCGGCTGCTCACTTGTGTGCTGGGGCAAAGCAAAGCAGTGCCTGATGCTCCCTTCTGGGCTGGGTTAAGAGGAGGATGCCCACATCCTGGTGCTCAGCTGAGGGTGTGAGCAGACGGAAGCAGCCATGCATTCCCATACCCACCAGCCCACCCTGCTCCTCTTGGTGCTGCCATGGGGCTCCCATCCAGCCCATTGGACACACGCTGCCCTTCAGCTTTGCAGAAGCTGACATTCAGAGCCAGGGGAGCTGTGACAGAGGGAAGCAGCTCCCCCAATGGGAACTGATATAGCCTGAGTGCAGGAACCCCCAGGAAATACCCTACCCCTGAGGCCAGAGCTGCATCTGACCTCCAGCAACCTGCTGGCACTGCTACAGCCACCTTCAATGTCCTTATCAGTGAGCTCTTCCCACCCCGGGGCAGAGAAACCCCAGCCGCGCTCAGCATCCCCTCTGCTGCTGCATCCCTGCGCGCCGGATGCTTCCAGGAGGAGGCCAGATGCTGCAGGAGCACGGAGCTGATGCTGCAGGAAGGAGCTGCACAGCAGCAAGGATGTGCGTGCCACAGGAAACCCTGCACTTACTCACCGGTCACATGAGGCTCTGCAGGAGGAAGGGTAAACCCCAAGGGCCAGGCAAGTTCCCATAGGGACACTCAGGTTGTCAGCCTAAAACCCCTCTGCTTTGACATTCAGTGCGGGCCGGCCCGAGCCTGTGTGCTCAGGAGGTGAGACCGTGCTGCTTTGGTGTTCAAGTGTTCAGGCTTGCTCCTTTTTTATGCATGAATTTGACCCAAACTATGGCAATTTACATTGCCAGACCCCTGGGGTCCCGTGCTGCCGCTGCTCAGGGCAGCTCTGCCCCGAGATGACCACATCTTACCAGGGAAAAGAGCTGGTTTGCAGCAGAGATCGGTCCATCACGACAGCAGCGTTACACCGAGGCACATGAAGTGGGGATGCTGGGGGCTGGAGCATGGGAGCTGCTCCTCCTTGCCCTCGAGCACCCACACACACACGCACACAGAGCCCACGACTTCTTGCCCCCTCGGTGCACTCCAGGACTCGTTGAGCGCTGAGTGAGTGCCAATTGCTCTGCATGGACTTGCAGCAGGGCAGCTGCGGTGGAAGGGACGGGCTCTGCCTCGACCTGGAGCCGCTCATCCACGGCCCTTTCTGCTCCGAGCACCATGTGAGGGGCTTCGGCTGGCAACGACCCTGAAGAATCTCAGCTGCTCCCAACCATGAGCAAGCAGAGCAGCTTTGAACAAGGAGGCAGGAACCCACAGACCTGCTCCACTGCTACCCCTTAACGGCCACTTCCTGCACATCCCCACGTGCCAGGATTTGGTACGAGCCTTGCCCTGGGCAGCTGGAGCCTGCTCTTGGCCCCAAACAGAAGCCCCCAGCATCTCTGCTGCTTCCCAGCCACCAAGGGAGCAGCAGCTCCCGGGGTGCAGAGCCTGCCAGGAGGGGCACACACCACGCTGCTCTGAGCTGCAATGGGGCCACAGCTCCCCTCTTCCACAGAGTCTCTAACGCTGGAGAGCAGCTTCCAATCTCATTCAGGGCAGCTTTCTGCTGCTGGTCACCAGCAACACCGAGCCTGGACCATGGAGAAGCCCATGGAGAAGCCCTTCTCCTAGTACCTAGAATCCTGGAGCTGCCTCGGGGCTGCCCAGCCCTGCAGAAGGATGGTTCCTGGAACAGGCCGTGTGTGACTCGGCCCTGAGTCACCCGCTCCCAGTGGCCCACACAGGGCAATGTGGGTGTGGAGCTGGCCCCATCCCACTGCCCAGCTCATGGAGGGATTCATCCTGCTCTGGAGCTCAGCAGCAGGTCAGACCTATGAGCTACACCCAGCCCTGGGTCACCTCCTGCTCTGGACAAGCTCTACAACCAACTATGGACCCACAGTATGGGCTGGGGACCGAGCTCTGGCACTGTGTCCCCCCCATCCCAACACCCTCCTGCCAAGCAGGTCCAGCCACCCCATAGGTGACAGACTCCCTAAAACCCGAGCTGTTGAGGAGCACATAAAGTTTAATGCCTCTTTTGGTCTTCTCTAGGCAGCCCTCAGCTCAGCACCACGGCTCTGTCTGAAGGAGACGCCTTCATCCCGGTTACACTCATCCTCAGCCTTCAAACGCTGCTCATCCCGGTTGCTGAGGGCGCAGGTCCGGCCAGCATCCAAGGTCCCGGTGATGAGTGTGGCTACATTCAACAGTTCTTCAACTGGCAGCTTTAGCTACTAGAGAAGGACATAAAGCTTGCCACTGAAGAACTGGTGCTGGTTAGCCAGGAGCGGGGCGCTGGGACAGCACCTGAGGAGGGAACGCACACGGTTAGAGCCAGGATTGAACCGCACCGAGCAAAGACATCACCCCGCAGCAGCCACCTCATCCCTACCGCGGTGCCGAGCCCACAGGGCAACCCCTTGAGCATCACAGGGGATCCAAAGGCAGCTCCAACCTCGACCTTGACTCTTCCCATCTCCCAACGCAGCCGCTGTGAGAGCTCCATCAGGGCAGGGAAATCAAGGCCCTTTGTGCCAGGAAATAGGAGACAAAAGGACCTGCTCCGGCACGGACCGCAGGTAGGGGTTATGGCATTCCCTGCCTGCTCACCTCGGGCATCCGAGCTGGCACGATCCCAGCTGGCCGGGGGCCAGGGAACACACTTTGGCAGGGCGCCGCTGCCAAGCCCCCGGCGGGGGAATTTCGGGAAGCTCAGCTTTATTCCATGCCGTTCTGATGGAGGACGAAGGCACCAACCCCCGGCGCTGGCGCGGGACCCTGCTGCTTCCCGAGCCGCATGCGAAAACATCCCTTTTCCCCCAAAACGCTTTGGATGCTGGGGATTGAGATCCAGGAAACCCCCAGCGTTCAGCCCCGATGGAGGGGACCCCTGTCTCGGTCACAGCCCCACAGCATCCCCCCCCTCCCCATAGGCACTCAGCATCCCGGCTGGCCCCCAAGCCTTGCTGGGGTAAAGCCGGGTCCCGGTGCTGGCGGCCGGGAAGCAGCAGCGGCGGTGGCGGCGGGGCCTGGCGGGAATGCCGAGCATTCCTGGCGTGCCGGGTACATCTGGTCCGGATTCCAACGAGCGGGTCCCGGCCCTGCTCCACCCCCGCCGGGCCGTGAATCAGCACCCGCCGCTCAGACACCGGCCCCGCCGGCACCGGGAGAGGGGGGGGGCTCTGCAAGCACCGCCGGGGGGGGGAATCTACCGGTAACAGCGCTCACCCCCAACCCTTCTCGGTACCGACAGACCCCATCAGCACCGGGGAGGGCCCCGGTGGGAGCTCGCCCCGTTAACAACGCCCGCTGTACCCCCGCTGAGTGCCCCCCTCCCGGTGTAACCGGGTCACCCCCCCCCCCAATATCTCTCCTCTCGGTAGAACCAACTCCCACCCCCTCGCAAACGGAGCCAGCTCCCCCCCCCCCTTTCCCCCGTCCCCCCCGGTAACCCCGGTCCCTCCACTCCCCCCCATGGGGCACCCCACGGACCCTTCCTCCCCCTCGGCTGCCCGGGATGCTCCGGTCCGTGCCCACGGCGGGGAGCGGCCGCGGGTCAAAGTCTGCCCAGCCCGGTCCCGGAGTGAAGGTCACCCCCGGGGCGGCCACCGCCCGGCGCGGGGCGGCCCCGGCCGCGGCCCCGCCCGCCTCCACCGGGACCCCCGGGGGCCGAGAACCGCGCCCCGGTCCCACTCTTTACCCACACCCCCTTTCGCTCCGCCGCTACCGGCAGTGAAGCCGCTCGGCCCAGGCGGAGCCTTAAAGCGCTGGGACCGAACCGAGCCGGGCCGGGCCCTGCTGCACCGCCCTACCCCGGGGAAAGGTGACCTTCCCCGGCAGGACCGCGGCGGGGATACCGGGACCCCGGACCCCCGGGGCGGGGGGGGCACTCGGCCGCCCTTAACGCTTGTCCCAGCGCGGCTCCACCGGACCGGACCTACCTGAGGGGCTCGGCCCGACCCAGCGCCCCGCTGGGCCCGCTCCGCTCCGGTCCAACCCGTCCCGGTGCCGGTGCCGTCGCCTCCCTCCCTCCCGCCGGCGGCGGCTCCCGTCTCTGATCAGCTGGCGGAGTCATGACGCAGCCACCCACCAACCCCACCCCTGACCAATCACCGCCCCGCCCCAGCCGCGCCCCGCCCACCGCCGCGA